ATTCATCAAGAGCTTTCATTTGAGTACCCACATGTATTTTCATATATTTTTCATATATACATATATACAAATATATAAAATATATGAAAAATAGATGTGGGTATTCAAAAGAAAGGTCTCGATGAGTGTAATATCGGGGTGAGTTTATATCTTTAAAAATGTCAATAATTGACAAGATACTAGGTAATTTCTTAATTACTGACATTTTTAAAAATATAAGCTCATCCTGACGTTACACTCATTAAAAGATTTTATTTGAGTACCCACATGTATTTTTGATATATTTTTCATATATACATATATACAAATATATAAAATATATGAAAAATAGATGTGGGTATTCAAAAGAAAGGTCTCGATGAGTGTAATATCGGGGTGAGTTTATATCTTTAAAAATGTCAATAATTGACAAGATACTAGGTAATTTCTTAATTACTGACATTTTTAAAAATATAAGCTCATCCTGACGTTACACTCATTAAAAGATTTTATTTGAGTACCCACATGTATTTTTGATATATTTTTCATATATACATATATGTAATATATACAAATATATAAAATATATGAAAAATTGATGTGGGTATTCAAATGAAAGGTCTTGATGAGTGTAACATTGGGGTGAGCTTATATCTTTAAAAATTTCAATAGTTCTCAAGATACGAGGTCATTTCTTAATTAATGACATTTTTTATGATATAAGCTCATCCTGAGGTTACACTCATCAAGAGCTTTCATTTGAGTACCCACATGCCTTTTTGATATATTTTTCATGTATACATATATACAAATATGTAAAATATATGAAAAATTGATGTGGGTATTCAAAAGAAAGGTCTCGATGAGTGTAATGTCGAGGTGAATTTATATCTTTAAAAATGTCAATAATTGACAAGATACTAGGTAATTTCTTAATTACTGACATTTTTAAAAATATAAGCTCATCCTGACGTTACACTCATTAAAAGATTTTATTTGAGTACCCACATGTATTTTTGATATATTTTTCATATATACATATATACAAATATATAAAATATATGAAAAATAGATGTGGGTATTCAAAAGAAAGGTCTCGATGAGTGTAATATCGGGGTGAGTTTATATCTTTAAAAATGTCAATAATTGACAAGATACTAGATAATTTCTTAATTACAGACATTTTAAAAAATATAAGTTCATCCTGAGGTTACACTCATTAAAAGCTTTTATTTGAGTACCCACATGCATTTTGGTATATTTTTTATATATACATATATATAATATATACAAATATATAAAATATATACAAATATATAAAATATATGAAAAATTGATGTGGGTACTCAAATGAAAGGTCTCAATGAGTGTAACATCGGGATGAGCTTATATCTTTAAAAATGTCAGTAGTTAAAAAGAGACACGGTCATTTTTAACTATGTATCTAGCATAGCCCTATACCAAAGAAATATTTAGTAACTACTACTAAATATTATTTGGCGGAAACAAATATTTATTTTGATATAACAAGGCTTTGTTTATATTAATATAATTTATTTATAATAAAAAAATAATTTATTAAACTGTGACAAATGATATTGATGGGTAATAAAAATTTTTAAATCCTTCTATCATTGTATAACAATTTTCCGATAAAGATAAAAAGTTAACTAAATCAAAATATTATTTTTCAAAATCCTGAATTAGAAACAGTTGATATTTTTCTTTAACAAGATTGTTGTTATTTTATTTAGCCGTTGACAAACAGTCGCTAGCGAAAGACGTTAAAGTTTAATTAAACCTTGGCTCCGATGACAACAGTGATATTGGCATTAACTCACACCGAGTATCAGTGAAATGACGTCTGAATTGAGAATGTATGTGAACACCGAACGGGGTGGAAATAGTATGAGAATAGAAAGACTGATTGTAGTATCTGGATTCCAGACAGCAGACAAACCGTCAACCTACGACAACGTAGTTGTTGTAAATCTTGGGAAAACATTTAAAAGCATGACGATGAGAGTAAGCGCATCAAGATAACCACAAGCTGATGTTGACGATTTTGAATTTTCTTCGTTTCCCTCCTCTTCAAGCTCTTCCATCATTTCCTTTAGAATTAATTCGTCTTTACTGCTCTTTTTATTGTGATCGATGCTCCATTTCTTTGAGTCCCGACGTGAGTTTGTGTTACGTGACGTCGACGGTTTTCCTATTTCTGAAAATAATTTTTTTTTTTTTTTATCGTTACAAATTAATTATGCAAGCATCTTTTTACATTACTCGCCTTTTTTATTCTGATCTTTTATTTTTAAGATCTATCTCTAATTTTATTATTAAATTAATTTTTAGAGAATTTATTTTCATCAATTATTAAATTTATTAATTTAATATTATAGTTAATGGAAGAATCGTGTAATTAATTATTTTTTTCTTTCATTTTATAATTCATCATCCCTGTTTAGACTGACATATTGATGTCAGTGTTAAATTGATAAAAGACAATTAACATGGACCTGACAGCACGCCGCTCTTTATAGACTATTTCACTAGAGTAATGGATTTATGTGCGAGGAAAAGACAAAGACATAAATGACAAAGGTGGAATTAATTTTCCATTGTAATAGTTCTAGAGGTTTTAACATACTCTTTCGGAAATAATAATGAGATCCGTTGAGAAAAACATTTTAATTAAACTATAATTATCTTGCTTTATTAAATAATGACTCTGGTTAAATTTTAGTGTATTTTCTTAACTATTGACAATTTTAAAGATATAAGCTCATCTTGATGTTACACTCATCGAGATCTATCATTTCAGTACCCACATGCATTTTTGATATATTTTTCATATATAGATATATATGATATATATATAAATATATGAAATATATAAAAAATTGATGTGGGTACTCAAATGAAAGGTCTTGATGAGTGTAATGTCAGGGCGAGCTTATATCTTTAAAAATGTCAATAGTTCTCATGATACAATGGCATTTCTTAATTAATGATATTTTTTAAGATATGAACTCATTTCGATGTTACATTCATCGAGATCTTTCATTTAAGTACCTACATAGCATTTTTTATATATTTTATATATATGGTATTTGTAAAATATATAAATATATAAAATATATGAAAAATTGATGTGGGTACTCAAATGAAAGGTCTCGACGAGTGTAATGTCAGGGTGAGCTTATAATTTTAAAAATATCATTAGTTGATAAGATACAAGATAATTTCTTAATTAATGACATTTTTTAAGTTATAAACTCATCTTGACGTTACACTCATCGAAATCTATCATTTAAGTACCTACATGGAATTTTTTATATATTTTATATATATGATATTTGTGAAATATATAAATATATAAAATATATGAAAACTTGATGTGGGTACTCAAATGAAAGGTCTCGATGAGTATACCACTGGGGTGAGCTTATATTTTAAAAAATGTCAATCAATAGTTTAAAAGATACAAGGTAATTTCTTAATTATGTACTCTGGAGAAAAAATTTTTATTTTTCTCGTAATAATATAGATTATCAATTTTTTTAATAGAGTTTACTAAAAGACAAAACAGGTCGCAATCATTTGACCGTTCAAAAAATGTTATAAAACAAAATTTATATCGAGTTACAAGGGCTGTCACCGGACACAAGTCTTGCTCGTTTTATCAGGCATCGAGTCGCTCTATATATGTCACCTGGTGAAACATCCTCGAAATTAAATGACCCTTTCAGTATATAACAGAGTAAACAGTTTTAATCTCTCAGAATATCGAGTATTTTATTTTTATAACTATAAAATAATTATGTCAATTATCGTTGAAAAGTTTAATGATTATTTTTTTTCAAGGAAGAATATTTGAAAAAACTATTTACTGTAAACTTTAATCCATCCGTCGTTTTCTCCGAGTGAATTAGTGGCAATGCACCGAAACGATCCGAAATCCTGGAGCCGTACATTTTTAATCATCAGCCTCATAGTCGTCTCATAGCCTTCGGCGGTAACTTCCGACTTGTAATTGTTATCTGGAAGAATTTTAAAAAAATAATTGGATAATTTTATACTCAACTTTATTTTTTATTTAAATGCTCGCAAATTATATGAATTTTGCACGCCTATATAATTTAACTGCAATTACACTAGAGCTTAACATCATCTTAAGTGTCTAAGTAGGACTTTGAAAAAAAAAATCTCAATGAGATCCACGCGAAGTAGTAAAATTTTTAAAACTTCTTGAAAATTTGTAAATTCAATCAACGTAGCCTAATAATTAATAAAACAATTAAAAAACAGTAGGTTTGAGGGATATTTAATCAAATAATTAGGTTTAAAATTGTAATTTTTACATGTGAATAGAGATTCCACCAGCCGTGTATTTGGTTAAGAATTTATTGCAATTAACGATAAAAAAAAAGTTTATTTTCATTGAATTTTATTGAAAAAGTAATAAGCTTACGATTAAAACAATAAAAAAAGTAGCTTTCCGAATGTATTACGGAGATATTTTATATTTTTTAAGAAAAATAATAGTTTTAAAAAACTAACAAACATGCTTTTTATAGAAAAGCGAACTAAAAAATAGAAAATAAATTTCAATAAATTTAAATTAAGAATTGTGTTAAAAATTTCAATAAATATAAATTAATAATAGTGTGAATAAAAAAAAATTAATTTATTTTAAAAAAAGCGTGGGGTGCTTTTTAAGATATTATCAAAATGATGATCACTCTACTCATATCTGTCAATAAAATATTTATAACTATTGACACCATGCACTCCACGCTTTTTTTAAAATAAA